TATGATCTATTTCACTTAATCAAGTTACTCAAGCCTTAAGAACCACTAAGCAAAGTATATCAAGCATGAATCAAGCAAAAATCCTCTAAGTAATCAACTATTCATCCCCAAATCTGCTCTAACTTCAAACCATGATAAACTACTCACAATACATGACGAAATCAACACAACAAAATAGAAATGACAAAGCAAGCATGATCAAACAAAGCTAGAACAAAAGAAATGCAAAACTTTACTAAAAATGGTGATCTTAGATTAAAAATCCATAAATCTCCTTGTGGTTCTCTCACAGCTCGAAAATAAGGATAAGAAAGAAGATAAGATTCCTAAAAAGATAAGCTTAAGCTTAAGTAAGCCAAAAGATAAGGTTTGACAAAAAAAGCAGAAAAAGTTTAGTCCACAGGTCGGCGTTGACGCATCGGGCAATACGAACATTGTTCTGCTCAATTCGCCACCCCGATGCAGAATGGCTCTTGTCACGGTTCGATCATCTGGACGTCCTTTGTCACGAGACGGGTCTTCATGTGTACATCAGACAGTATCGGGGGTCCTAGTCGATGAATGTTCTGTTTCTGCATATCGGCATGTACGGCCTTCTATCCTCTGTGCTCCATCCCGGTGCAGCTCAAAAGTTTATAAAGAGAGTTTTAGACTCTCAATCAATCATCCCTCTATGTAAATCAGTTGTAGTATAGCAAGGGTTTTCTGTCAATCCAAATGGGTTTTGTTGAAAGCAAAAGAGTTGTGAGTAGGAATCCTTAAGTCAAGCAAAGCAAAGAGAGTTTTTGTTGCCTAAGCAACTTATCTAAAAACCTAGAATGATCAATCACCAAAGAGAACTCAAAAGAGACAGTTCAGTCATGATCAACGAAGTAAAACAGAGCAAAATAGCAGAGCACTTAACAAATTCGAAATTCAATAAAGAGAAAGCAAGTTCCTAGATGTGGTTATTGATTTTGGGGAATCTAGAGACTAACTAAGGTTGTTTCAAACAGCATTGATCAAGCAAACAAGCTAGCAATGGTTGTTCCTAGACATAGAGTTCACAAACAAGCAAGCTAAGTCCAATCTCTTGTAAAATAGCCCTTTGCTAAACACCTTAACAAGAACTAACTCTCATTAGTGCTAAAACATTTAACAAGCAATAACAATCAACTCTATTCATGTCAAAATGCTCCTCAAACAGTCAATCTCTTGAGCCAAGGCCAGCAAATCCTCTATTAAACAAGATCAGCATTTCATCAAACACTTGGTAGGCATAAGAGAAAGCCTAAATTCTAGATAAGTGTGATTAAGACAAATCTAACTTAAAACAGATTAATAGAGAGGAACCCATCAAATTAAATATTAAACAAACTTTAATCAATCCCTAAATCCCCTTAATCTACCACATCTAAGAACCCTAAACAAACTACTCACTAATACTCATGATTAACACCAAATCACAAGAAGAAAAGATGTTAATTTTGATTAGAAGAGAGATTATAGAAAAATTAATGGCAAATACAAACTTATATTAAATAAAGCAAGAAATTTGTCTTACAACCCCAGAAAAATAACTCAAGAACAGTGTTATGACATCATTTGTCGAAAATCCCAGAAAAAGGGTATTTATACATCAAAGAAGGAAGCCCTCAAGTAATGGCAAAAATATAATAAAAGGCAGGCTCATACTGGGTTTCTATCGGTCAATTGTGACCGATAGGATGATCGATAGGGATCCTATCGGTCTGGAAGATGACCGATAGGGTGACCGAAATATAAACGGTGCACTTCTATCGGTCACTTCTCTGACCGATAGGCCTGGTCAATAGGAATCTTATCGGTCACTCCTTGACCGATAGGCCTTGTGCCTTGATCGATAGGCTCAGCAGAGATCGTCTGCCTTGGTCCCTTTTGTTCCTCTTGGCTCACCTAGCTTCCTGGATCATCCCTAAAGCTCCTCCAATGCTCCTCTTAGCTCTATAAGTACCTAAAAACATCCATAATGCATAGAAAATGCAAACTATGTCCTAAATGCATCCTAAGTCTAAAAAGAGAAGAAAATGGGACAAAAGATAAGGAAAACATGCAAAAAAGAACCAAAACATGTACTAAATGCAAGTCTAAATGGTGTAAATACAAGAGATATCAACACCTCCACAATTGCATTTTGCTTGTCCTTAAGCAAATAAGAACAAATGAGAGAGTGAGGTTTGAAGGTGGACATTCAAATCCAAAAGTACAAAGGTAAAGAGATGGTATCAATGCTTAAGTGCCTAGTTGTGGGATGCAAACATAATCAGCTATACTTTAAAGAACCTAGCCATGCTCATCATGTTTCAGAATGATCTCAAATCTCAACTTAGGCAAATGCTCAAATCAATCAATTCTTTAACATTCAATTAAGCTCAAAACCATGAATCATGCTTATGCAAATCAAGTGAAGACATTCGGTTCAAAGGGTAAGGTTGTGAGATAAAAATGATCTCATTCAAACAAAGGGTTTTCAAACATAATGGATCACTCAATGAAAATGATCTCATTCAAACAAAGGGTTCTCAAAACCATGAATCATGCATGCAATTCAAAGCTCCCTTCTACCCAAGGATGAATCCTAAACATTTCTAAACCCAAAAGTGAACCCCTAAGTCTACCCTTTTCCTAAACTCTACCCTTTACCCTTCTTCATGGCTGGGGAAACTTCTTCTTTTTGCCTGTGTGGTTGCTTCCTTTTGGTTGGGACTTGCTCTTCTTTGTTGCTTTGGCACCTTCTTCACCTTTGGTGGATTGCTTTGGGTCAGATTTCTTCTTTGTGTTGACCCTTCAAAACCTTTAAGTTGCTGGCACCATTCTTTCTAAATACTTAGAGCTTTTACTTCCCTTTGCTTAACGACAATGCTAAACTGTTTCCTCTTTTCTACTATTTCAAACTTTTTCCTTTTTCTTTCAAAACATAAAAACATGAAGTTCAGACCACTTAACTCTACCCTTTCATCCCAAAACTCCTAACTTAGAATCAAGCTCAAGATACAAGCTGATATCTACAAGAGAACTTATTATTGCCAGCCTTATTCCTAACACTTTTTGCCAAGACAACATCTAAAATGATATGCTAAGGCCTCACAGCTCTCAAGATAGTGTTTAAGCTCAAACGGAGGTTTTGGTTAAGAGAGTGGATTAACTGTCTCATAAATATTAGGATCATCTATTTGGATCAACAAGAGTGGTAAAAAGGAAAAAGATGATCCAAATATGTATATGGTAGCCATGAATTCACTTTTCAATGCATAAGACATGATAATTAAAAGTCAAAATTAAAGTTCAAGTTGATAGAGTTGATTTTCAGAGAACAAGTGCTTTCAGTATGAAATGAGATGATTAAAATTAGCAATCCAAGCATGGTTCAATCTTAACTTCTAGCTTTCTTATGATGCATCAAACAACTAACCACTTAAACACTGAAATCATCTCTAAACTCTAAGCACTTTACAAGGAAAATTCATCATTATGCCCTATGCAAATGCAATGCAACCTATATGTCAACACCAGACTCAATCCTAAGATAATGAAATGCAATTACATGCTTTCTTTTTGGTTTGCAAAAACATGCAAAATTTTTCAAAATTTTCGATTTTTTGTTTGTGTTTTTCTATGACTTAGATGAATGCATGATATGCATGTGACTCAAGATGAGAGAAAATGAAAAACTACGAAAACAGAACACAAAGTCAAATCCCAAATCTCTCCCCCACACTTAAATTACACAGTCCCTTGTGTAATGAAAGCAATGAGAGAGAGAAGCAACAAAATATAATACAAAATCGAAAAAGATGCAATGGTATAGACAATGAATAGGATGTGGTACCTGTTTAATAAGTGGAGTGGTGGGAGGATCTATATGTCTGAGGAGACTTGCTAGCTCTCCTCTTGTTCCTCCTCTCATAAGTCCTTGAAGATGGCGCTGCTTCTTGTGGTGCGGGAACCCAGCTTAACCATAACTGCTCAGCTTGAGAAGAAGTACCTTGATTACCCCATTGCCATGTTTGTTGAACCTAAGCAGGGATGGGAGTTGGCGCTTCCCATGCCGATGGAATATGGGTCCTTGGCTCATATGATGAAGCCCTTGGTTGTGCCCATGTTCCCCATTGATCACTTGGCTGTGCATGAAAGGAATGTCTTCCATGGGGGTTCGAAACAGCTTCCTCTTCTTCAGTTGGGTCAGCTTGTGGCATTGGCTCTTCTTGATGAGAAATGTACTCATGAGTGTGGCTCTGATGGGAAGCTCCTCATGATGTAGCTTTGTTCTTCTTGAACTTCCCTTTATAACCATTTTCACCAACTTCTTAATGGCTTTGTCTTGCCACTTACACCATTTCTGAAGGGTGTTGATGTGCTCATGAACAGAATTCATAGAGCTCTCTTGGCTTGGGCCTCCATAAGATTTGAAGTGGAACTGCTTTGAGCTGTAGTTCAGCACTTCATCTTCATCAAGCTCTTCTTCTTCTTCTTGGGTTACCCCTTGGCTTTCAGCGCCAGCAGTAGCATCTTCATGGACTTCTTCTTCACCTTCTTCTCTTCTCTCTTCTCTAACTTCTTCTTCAACCTCTTCTTGTTCTTCTTCCTTACTAGCGTCTTCTCTCTCTTCAGGAACAGGGCCGCCTTTGTAGAGCTGATCTTCACTTGGGTTGAAAGTGATGTTGCTCTTCATGGTGATGGATGTGAGCCTTGGGTTAGGGAAGAGAATTCTTGCTGGTGTTCTGAAGTCCTTGATGAAGTCGTAGATGTGCTTGTCATTGATGCTCTTCTCAAGGAAGTGGATCTTCCTAAGATAGTCTATATCAATCCATAGTGGTTCCAAAGCATCATCTTCATGTCTCTCAAGGTTGACACCACTGGCCATGAGAATAGCAGTCACAACCCCTCAAATGTGGATATGTGCGCTCTTCTCATTTTTCCTTTTACTTAAAATCCAGCTTTTGTAGGAATAGAGCTGCTCCATCAGCATATACACATAACATCGGTATCCTTTCAGCGGCTGTAGAGATTTTCCATCTTCGTTGGTATCCACAAGTTCATACACCTCTTGGTATATCAAGTCCCTCTCTTTTCCTGTGAAGTATGTTGTTTCCTTCCTTGCAAAGAATGTGCTTGCAAGTGCTTTGTGAGCATATCTCACAGCAGGATGCCTCAAGTGCTGATTCTTTGTGGTTCCAGCAATGTATGGCCCAGCTCTAATTTCGCACCATAGCATGGTGTAACTGGAGTCCTTTGTTTCTCAAATGTTTGTGGAGCTGAATGAGAATAATTTATTTGATGTATCGACTTTTTAAAAAGATTTGTGGATGGTATATGTTACTGATATAATCAGGATAAAACACTTTCAAAGTGATATACAGAAGAGTTTGTACATAATTGAGCAAATGTTTGTGTTATAAAAAATACACAAAACCTTGATTATGCAGTTGTTTTGCCGTCACAGACGTCGCAAACAGTATAACCAAGACCTTCACAGTACGCACACTTCGTATCTTCACCAACCCACTCCATAAACTAAAACCATACAACAACATTGAAGAAGAAGTTTTTTGCTTTAGGCTACTTGGGATATATATACATATATACACATACATATAATCACAGCGTGGTCGTTTTGATTTTACTCACCTGCGGTTCAATGTTTGGTTCACCGGTTCCATCGCACTCTACATACACAAAAGTCCACATCAAGTTCTCATTTTCATATAATAAATCAATCTGTCGATTATATTGAACCAAAAATTGCTGATTTTAATTTCCATTAGCACTCTTTGTCTGCTAAAAACAGATTTTAGTTTTCCTTTTTAACTTTCAAAGAGCCTACGGATTTTTACTTAAGCAGGATCGATAAGGGATTTTACCTAGGCACATCAATCGACCTTCTCCTCGACAAGTGATGCACTTTGTTTTCGTATCTGTAGTATTACTTCTGTCTACCGGTTTATTGAGCCTGGAGGGATCTTCCCATCGGTTTTCTCCGAGAAGGAAAACCCGATGTTGAGAAATCTCAGGTTCTCTTTCACTTTGATCTTTTATGAATGACTTCTGCTTCTCAGAGACTTGTCTTACTGAAGTAGATACCGCTCCATTACCAGTTTCCTTGATCAAGGGAGATGAAAAAGAACAGTTCAGCGGAAAGAATATAATAGCTCAAACAAAGATAATGTACCATTTTCCTCTTTTACTCATTAGACACTTGAAGATTCGGAACAAAGCTCGCTAGAAACAGAATTATCATCTAAAGGACAGAGCTAAGAAGGCAAAATATAGCAATTGACAAGCTTGTGAGGTCAAAGCATACAATGGAAGTTCACATTCGGTAACAAGGAGACTGCATACCGGGGCAGAGAGACCACATAACTACTACTAAGGCTTGCCACATAGCTAAAAGTATTTGGCACAATATATTTGATTGGCATGTACTCGTCGGATCCATTAGATAAGTGTGGTAGAACAACTAAAGAAGACCATTTCTCCAAGTTGTGGTTTCAGGTTTTACCTCTCTCTTCATTGTTTTTGCTTCATCCTTATCTTTCTCTATATGTTCATCCGTTATCTGATCCATGAACAACCTCTGAAGGAGATCTTCTGTCATTATCCCATCCTCACGGACGCCAAGTGATGCCTTTCAAAAGCAAAATCAAAATCCCTCAGCAACAAAAACAGCATCAGCACACGAGAAATCAAAGGTGAGATATACACACAAAAAAACATACTTGCCAAGTCTTCACAGCTCTTGCTGTCCCACTTGAGAAGCTAGAAAACTCCATATCCTCTTCGCCCGAATAGAATCCTAATTTTAGCAGAGCTTCCTATCATGTGGAGAAAATAAAAATCACAAAAGAAATCATTCAAAAAAGAACATTCTTCAAACACTTTCAACTGCGAGAAATCTCATAACTGGTCTCAATCAACAAACAGCTGAAGATGCCTACGCGAAGATAGGACGATTATAGACTTTAAATCATTCATTAGCCTAATCTTGCCAAAGGATGATAAAACATGAAACATTATCAAATCATCACCTTGAATCTTTGAACATTCATCTTCTAAAGTTGGATCAATTTCAGGTTTTTGCCAGTGATGATAGAACCAATATTAACACAACGCAACTACATTAATTTCGGATTTACTCGCCTTTGTTCTAAAACTGACAGAAGATGTTTTTTTTTTATTGTTTTGCTAGCAGACCTGCATCACGTGAACCTCTTCGCCTTCGCTTCCCACCTTCAATGTCCTCCTCTTCTTCTTCACCTGCTCCGAAACCCTAACTTTCTCCTCAACAATCACCCGCTTCACTTCCTCCTCTTCCTCTTCCTCCTCCTCAGGTTCTCTCGTATTCTCCAATACCATCGGCGTTACACTCGATCCACTCTCAGAAATCCGATTTTTCTCCTTCAGAACCTGAAGCAAAGCAGCTATATTCGAGATCGTATCGGGAACTGAAGTCCCCTGCTGCGAATTTCGAGACTCTAGGGTTTGGATCCGGAGCTGGAGATCCGAAATCTCCGATAAAAGAGCTTCACGCTCGCGTATCCACCTCTGTTCCTCCCGAATCCATCTTTGCTCCTCGCGAATCCACCTCTGCTCTTCCCGGAGCCACCGTACCTCTTCGCGGTCGTAGCCGGAGGGATTTTGAGTGGAGAGGCAAACGAAGGAAGTAGGAAGAGAGAGAAAGAGAGGCGAGCATCTGAAAGGTAGAGCTCGGGTGCTTCCACGGGATCGGAGAGGAAATGGGAGAGAGAGAGGTAGAGAAGAAGAAGCCATGAGAAGAAGGAAATTAGAGGATAAACTCGCGAAAATAGCTCAGATTATTTACCACTCGCTTCGCATAAAGTACAGATGGCGGGAAGATAGATTTTAAGATAGATTTTTCTATTTTTCTTTTAAAATCTATTCTCGAATTATCTCCTGTATTTTGTTATGTGGATTGGGTAAAGCTTCGATGCTTGGAGCCTAAAGAAATATTATTAGTTTTTGTATTTTAATAGATTTGAGAATTCAAACTAAATTTAATGTTATTGGTTCTTGTATTTTAAAATTTATATTGAAATACAGTGTTATTGGTTCTATAATTTTAAAATCTATAATGAAATATAGTGTTATTGGTTATATCATTTTAGAATCTAAATATTATAAGGATTTGAGTTTTAATTGAATTTGAATAGATTTGGAAGGATTTTTATGACTAAAATACAAAGACCCAAATACAAGGTCTAATCTTGGTATTTGAGTGGATTTGATTTTTTTCTATTTTGCTGATTTTGAAATCAATAAATTTATCAAATCCAAAAAAGATTTATAAATTTACCAAAATACAAGAACCAATAACCCCTACTAAAACATCATGACGGTTAATGATATGATAGACAAAAAGGAAATTGTCTAGCTCTTTAGAAATAGGAAAGTGTGTTTTCCTATTAGTCATATGATTAGAAAAAGAAATCTACTCCTATATATGTGATCACCGAATTGTGGTGAAAACATAAGAGAGAATGAGAGCTTTGTGTTTAGTTTTGAGAGGATTTTTTAAACATCAATAAAGAGAAGGATTTCTTTATATAAGCTGAGTTTTTCTTTCTAAGAACTTTATTTGGTATCAGAGCTTAAGGATAATCGATCCAAGAGCTTAAAAGAAGAAGATCGTGACGACAAGGGGAGCTGAGTTCCCGAGCTATGGGTGATCTCGTTCCTGCGGCTCGTTCGAAGGATATTATACCATCCTCTATTCAATGCCCGATGTTAACAGCCACAAATTATACTGTGTGGGCAATGAGGATGAAGGTCATGTTGCGTATCCACAAGGTCTGGGAGACTATAGAACCAGGTTGATACAAGACTTTTTGGGACTTGATTAAATTACCCAAGCTTGTACTAATCAGTTGTAGTATAGCATAGGGTTTTATCAATCCAAAAGGGGAGAATGAAGCAATAGGAATGCAATAGAGCTCTTAATTCAAGCAAGCAAAGATGGTTTTAGAGTCTAACAACCTAAGTGAGCAAGCAAAGAAGTAAAAGAAAGCAAAAGAAAGCAATTAAAGAGCAGTAATGGCAAAGAAAAACAGAGCAAAAACAGAGTAAAAACTGAACTAAAGCAAAGTAAAATTAAACTTCAAAGATTAAAAGATGGTTCAAGAACAAGGCAATGGTGATAGGGTGATTCATGTTCATGTCTAGGGTGATCAAAACAAGCAATTCTAAACACTCAACCTTAGGTAAGGAACACTAATATAGACTAATCTAATCTCTTGGCATTAATCCCTTTTCTAATCACATATTCAAGATAAATCTCTTTACTTAAACACATAATTATCAAGCATTAAAATCAAGTTCCATAAAACCAATTAGCATGCTAGACATCTAATCTCTTAGGCTAGGTTTACTAATCTCTTATATGATATATCAAACATCAACTCACATTCTCATGCATAATCAATGTCAAAAGGCAATTTCTCATCAATATGGTACTAAGCAATAAGCACATTCAAGCAAGAAATGATAGATGCAAAGACTCATGATTATCAAAACACCATTTTCAAGCATTGAATTTTATTCAGGAATTTCATCAAACACTTGGTGTGCATATGAAAACTCTAAAATCAACTTCTCCAACAAAGAGGTACTAAGCATTAAACATAATCATATAAGAAAGAGAATGAGAAGATCTAAGCCTTAATCAACCTAAACAATCACTAAAATCACTCCATCTGCCCTAATCTCAAACCTAAAGCAAACTACTCACTAAACATGGTGAAAACAATCAAATCTATGAAGAAAAGATAGTTAATCATGATTAGGAAGATAAAAGATTAAGAGAAATGCAAACTTTTATTGAAATAAACAAAGATTCAAATTACAAAATCAAAAAGCTCAAACAAAGAAGAAGAGACTGCTGGCCAAAGAGATGTGTCCCCAGAAATTAGGGATTTTAAGTATTTATAGGAGTCTAAGCGAAAATGGCAAAATTGTAAATAAATGGTCTTCAGTCTGGCAGTGTATCGGTCAGTTGTATCGGTCTTCAGTGACCGAAATGGATTGAGCGGTTTCACGAAAATTACGATATCTGTTGAACGGCATATCATAATGACCTGAAACCAAGTTCTCCTGAAAGCTAACTCACGTCGCTACAACTTTTGTGAAGAGTGAAGATGCTGTATAGGGACGGAGGCTACTCGTCCGAGCTGATCTTCAAGTCGGTCAAGATCAACGGTAAAAACTCCAGATGGACATGTGCTCACTTGATTCGCTGTAACTCTTCAACCACTGATCGAAACTGCACCATTTCGGTCACCCAAGACCGAAATTCACCAGGCTCTGATCGATAGGGGTTGAGCGGTTTCACGAAAACTTCTGTAACTTTCTAACCACTGATGGGAATGACCTGAAACCAACTCCAGACGCAAGCTAACTCACGGGGCTACAACATTGGTGAAGACTGATGAAGCTGAATCGTCTTTGAGATGCTTTTTCCGAGCCTGTTTTATCAGGTGAAGTTTTTGGCCGTTTCAACAAGGTGCACCTTCATCTTGGATCTTTTCATGTCTTGTGCTGCACCCACCATCATCTCCCATGCTCTTTGTAGCTCAATGAGTACCTACAAACATCTTTTATGCAAAGAAAATGCAAACTACATCCTAAATGCAACCTAAGTCTAAAAAGAAAAGAAAATAGGACAAATGATAAGGAAAACATGCAAAAGAGAACCAAAACATGCACTAAATACAGGCCTAAATGATGTAAATACAAGAGATATCAACACCCCCACACTTGTCTTTTGCTTGTACTCAAGCAAATAAGAACAAATAGGAGAGTGAGGTTTGAAAGTGGGAGCTCAAAACTAAAGGTGTCAATGGAAAAATTGAATCAATGCTCAAGTTATAGGTTCTATGATGCAAAGAGATTGTTCTACTTTAAAGACTTTAGCCATACCTATCATAGCAAACAATGAACTCTAGCTTAGCCTTCACAAGCATTCAAATCAACCAACTCTTTAACATTCATTAATCAGTAACCAATGGATCTTGTTTGTGCAAATCAAGTGAAAACATTTGGTCAAGAGACATGGTTATGAGATGAAAATGATCTCATTCAAATAAGGGTTCAAAGATTCAGGGGATCACTCCATGAAATGATTCTATCTTAGGCAAAATGCTAAAGGTAAAAGCACACCTATGCATGCAAGTCAAAGCTCTCTTCTACCCTTTTTACCCAAGATGAACCTAATAACTTCTAAAACCCCAAGTGCAACTCCTAAATCTACCATTTTACAAAGCACTTGATCACTTCCTTCTTCATATTTGGGGAAACTACTTCTTCTTTTGCTTGTGTGGTTGACTTCATTTTGGAACTTGCTCTTCTTTGTTGCATGATTGGCACCATTTTTATCACCTTAGGTGGATTGCTTAGTCTGATTACTCCTTTTGGATGACCTTTTGTGAGCTTTGTTGTTGTTGGCACCTTTCTTCTTTAGCACTTAGAGCTTTCTTCCTAGTTAACTTAACCACAAAATGAACTGTTCCCCCATACTACCAATCCCATACTTCTTCTTCTTCTCAAAGATGTAAACAATTAAAGCTCAAACCACTTACACTACCCTTTCCCAAACTCCTAACCTAATACCAAGCTCAAAATGCAAGCTGGTGTCTACAAGAGAGCTTCTCCTTGCCAGCTTTATTCCTAACACTTTTTGCCAAAATAAGATCAAAAATGATGCAATGCAAGGCGTCACAACTCTCACAATAGTGTTTAGGTTCAGAAAGAAGGATTGGTTTTAGGGTGTGGTTAACTGTCCCATAATGATGAGGATCAACTACTTGGATTAACAAGAGTGGTAAGAAGGGAAGAAGATAATCCAAGTATGTATATGGGTAGCCATGTAATCACTTTCAATACACAAACAAGATAATTCAAAGTCAGGATTATGGTTCTAATAAGATAGAGTTGGAATCAAATCAAAGCAAGCTTCAGCATAAGACAAGAATATCCATGCAAGTAGTCAAGATATGGTGCAGCCTTAACTTCAAACTCACTACAATGCAATCAAACAACAGATAACCAAGGCATTGAAAACAATTCAAACATTAACATCTTGACAAGTGTTTATCATCTACTCCATATGCAAATGTATGTAATCTTATATGAAATGCATCTAGACTCAATCTTAGTTATGTAAATGCAACTAAATGATCTTTTTGGTTCCAAAAAATTTGAAAATTTCATGGATTTTCAGTGCACATAGATGAATGCATGAATGCATGAGACTCAAATATGTAAAATAAGAAAAACAGAACACAATGTTAAATTCAATGCCCTCCCCCACACTTGAATTACACAGTCCCTTGTGTAATAGAAACTTGAAGGAGGGTAATAAAAGATATTCATAAGTATTCAAGAGCAAATGAGCATGATTGTGTACCTTAGAGGGAGTTTGGTCAGACTGGGTCCCAACTTATAACAACTTGCCTTGAATCACACTTGCTCCTGTTATTGAAAGAAAAACAGAAAAGAAAGCATAAAATGCAATAATATGAACAAGGATAACAAGGGAATACCTCCCAAGAGTGCTTGTTTAGAGTCACTAAGCTTGACTTGTCATGCTCCTTAAGATCATGGAGGATGATGGAGTGGAACTGAAGTTCCTTCTCCTTTCCTCTTGAACAATGTGTTGGGTCCATAGTAGAGCTTCTCCTTAGGTTTCCTGACTCTCTTTCTTGGCTTCTTTGGTCCACCATAGAGCTTCACCTTGATTCCATCAAACAAGTCAAGAAGACAAGCACCATCAAATACTTCACCATCATACTCATTGTGGTTAAGAGGGTCTTCATCTTCATTTAACACTTCAGCCTTGAAT